CTAATTAGAGGGATCACTTTGTAAATTATATAAATGTCTAACTACTATGCTGTACACCTGAACTAATATAATATTGAATATCAACTGTAATTAAAAAATAAAAATTAAATAAAACTAAAAGGCAACCAACCGAATGGAGATGTTTGTAAATAACACCTCTAAGAAGGGCTTAATATCCAAAATATATAGAGAATTCATATAACTCAACTACAACAACAACAACAAACAACAAATCCAATTAAAAACTGGGCAGAGGACCTGAATAGACACTTCTCCCAAGAAGACATACAAATGGCAAACAGATATATGAAAAGATGCTCAACCTCACTAGCTATTAGGGAAATGCAAATCAAAACCCCAATGAGATACCATCTAATGCCTATTAGAATGGCTATCATCAACAAGAAAAGTAATAACAAGTGTTGGAGATGTTGTGGGGAAAAAGGAACCCTCATACACTCACTGCTGATGGGAATGTAAACTGGTACAGCCACTATGGAAAACAGTATGGAGGTACCTCAAAATATTAAGAATAGCATTACCATAAGACCCAACAATCCTTCTTCTGGGTATCTACCCAAATACTTGAAAACATTTATTTGTAAAGATATATGTACCCCTATATTATTTGTAGCATTGTTCACAGTGGCCAAAACATCTTTCGATAGATGACTGGATAAAGACAATGTGGTACATACATAATAAAAGATGAAATACTGCCATTTGCAACAACATGGATGGATCTCAAAGCTATCATGCTAAGTGAAACAAGTTAGATGGAAAAAGTCAGGAACCATTTGATTTCATTATTTGCGGGATATAAAACTAAAAACAACAAACAAACAGGACAAAAAAAAACTCATAGACACAGACAACAATTTGGCAGTGACCAGAAGGAAACAGGGGTGGGAGGGCAATAGAAAAGGGTAAAGAGGGGGGGTCTAATATATGGTGACAGAAGGAGATTTGACTTTGGGTGGTAAACATACAATGCAATATACAGATGATGTATTATAGAATTGTACACTTGAAACCTATATAATTTTATCAACCAATGTCACCTAATAAACTTAATAAAAATTTTAAAAACCTACAAGTGAATACAGTACATTTAAGTAATCAATTAGGAAAAAACAATAACAATCAAAGAGAAGTTATCCGCATTTAATAAAAAATTTGGTTTTGGAAAAAATGCTAAAAAAAGAAATTGTACTTTCTTTTAATAAAGTTTTACGATTAGCTGATATTGAAAATGATGGCCATCAACTACAAACTCAATAAAAGAAGATCACTAACATTTTTGAGAAACCAAATTAATGTCAGTTGAATTTTTTTTGGAAGTTGAATAGTAAATGCAAGTAATAGTGTGTAAAAAGTTCCTCATTTATTGAACATCTCTATTTAGGTTATGAGCCTATAAAGCTACTTAATTGTGTAATATTTCATGAATGCAATAATACTTCAAAATTAAAATGTAATTTTTTAGTCTATATTTATGATAAATATTAATAATATATTTAACTATTTCAATGATTTCTGATAAATGGGAGAATATAATTTGAGGAAAAAAAATAACATCTGTTTTAATGAGAAGTAGAAAGAGTATTCCCAGGCATAAAAAGATAAAGAAAAACCAAAAGGAGGAAGGAAAACGGGCATGAGAAAAATTAAAAGAAAGCCTCTGTGACTGAAAAGCAGAGACCACAAAGGAGAGTGGCATAAAATATGCATGTCTAAATGCTAATGAGAATGAAAAAGAGTAAAAGAAAAAAGATAAAGATATAAATGAGATGCAAATATCAGCAAGATAAGGTTCCTAAGAAAATGAGATCTGGAGCACAAGTAGTAAAGAGGTGCCTCTATGAAGTAGAAATTAAGGGCATCTGCTCAAAGTAAAATCAGGTGTGGGTCAAGAGGGGAAAGTTGATGGAAAATGGAGAAAGTCTAAAATTGTAATTGTATGTAATGGGAAAAAAAAGTTGGCCAGAGAAAGATAAACTTCTAAGGAATACTGATAAACTAGTATTCTGAAGAATCCCGAAGAATGAGTCATCAAATGGAGACTTCCCAAAGAAATGTTTATGCTATAAAAACTCCTTTTTCAATATAAATTGCTTCACAAATTGCCAAATAAGTTAAAATGTAATTATTTAACAAAATTAGAATAAACTGCTTGTTCTTATAAAGAAAGGAGGAAAGCTACCACTTGCTAGCTGTGTAATCTTCAGCTAATTTCCTAACCTCCAGGCCTTTGTTTCCTTAACTATAAAAGGTGGATAATTATATCTTCCTCACATATTTCTTACTGCAATTGACATAACAAATATACAGTGAATAACACAAATCCTGGCAAAGAACAAGCATTCAATAAAGGCTAGTTTCATTCTTAATTCCTAAAGTGCCTGCTGACACAGCTGGGTGACACCTTTGTCTTGCTTTTTTTGTGAAAGGAAAAGGAAGGAGGCTTCAAAACACAAGCTCATTCAGCTAAGACACCCTGCTTCCCAAGAAGCATTAACTCAGTGACATCATTACTGATAAAGGTTTAATCTTCTCAGTCTGCAAAGCAAGAAGCCTGACTTTGTGAAAATAACCCAGAGAATCAAAGTCCAAAGAAGATAGACACATATGACTAAGTTTGAAAGCAAATGATGTTATAAACAGGAATATCAATTTACACTTAACAAATATTATAAAATTTGTGAAATGAACCAGAATGTTAATATTGGCAGATCAGTACATTTCCTCCCTTTAGGAAAATTAGGCAGGAAGCCAAATTACACTCAGAAAGTTATTTTACACTTATGGGATCTAAACAAGACAAATTAATTAAATATTAATGGCTAATGTCAACAAGCTATAATATAATCCATACAGCCTTACAGAACTATTCCGTACACAGAGCAGAATCTACTCTCCTCCAAACCGCACTGAGATATACAACAAAATTACAGCTCCCTAGTTCCTGTTATTCTAAAATCCACAGGAGTCATTCCATATCTAGACACACGATTAATTTCTTTATATTGTTTCCTTCTTTGTAGACACACAATATTCTTATATTTCTTCTTCATCTTCCTCACTTAATCTCATTGATTAGATGCAGGCCACTGGCTAAACAAGTCATTTACTTTAATAATCTTTTGATTAACTTTATATAATCTGAATATATAACTACCAATATTAAGAAATATTAATCTTCTAAAAGTTTATCAGTTCTGCTTTAATTTTAATATGATTTAAAAACTGAAGTAAAGTGAAATTTGACAACCATTAAAATGTACACAAAACAATAACATATCTAGAAGTTTACTTAGGAACTATTCTAAAACGTACTTTCCCATTTTAAATACGAGACTATTAAAAAAAAAAAAAAAGCCTTTAAAACTAACCATTCCTTTGGGACATGTTAAAACCACCAATCACTATGATAAATAATGTTATAGTTCTACAAACTTTGGTATTGTTTCCTTTCTACCATTTTCAGTTCAGTCCTACAACAAAAACATAGTAAAATATTAAGCCTTGGATAAATTAAAGATATATGTATACATATACATAGATATGCAGCAATAAACACTTTATGAGTAAAAATTTTCAAAGGTTATATGCATAAAGCTTTAAATCTCTGATGTAGTGATAATATGGCCATTACATGAATACAAAAGGATTGTGATATTGCACTATATGAAATGTTAATTACTATCTTTCTTGCAACTAAATGAGCTGGGCTGATATCAATTTTCTATAGAAATATTCATTATAATTAAAATTTAATGTGTAATCCCTTGAATATTTCTTTGAGAAGAAGGTATCTTCTCTCATTTGATGTAGACAAGTATCTTATGTTTTTAATGTTATAGCATTTTATCTTCGTAGTAATACCTAAAGTTAAGATATAACTGGCAGCAAATAAAACTAATCTCTAGTTTTACAAGTTGAGATAATAGTTACCTTTGGAAAAGAAGAAAGTAGTGATTGTGAGACAATGAAGAGACTCCAGGAGTGCTGGTAATGTCCTATTTCTGGACCCCGGTTTTGATTTCACAGATATGTTCACATTGTGGTATTTCATTCTATTTATATGTCTATGATTTGTTAACTTTTTAAATAACTTAAAGATTATTTAAAACAATAACTGACATTCGGTTATATTTTAAAAATTACAACAACTAAAAATCAGAAGTCAAATAAATACTTTTCTGATTTAGAGACTACGTAAAGGAATGAGTATTTATAAAATTATTTTTGTCCAATACAAATGCACAAAATGAAATAAGTGGTTTAAAGGATATGGATATGGATATTAATAATTGTCTTTGGATGTATATGGATCCACTATAAATAGAGAAAACATCTGGATGCAATACAAATGCAGAACTGAGTTTACATCTAGTTTGTTGATTCTACTATATGGGTATCTTTGGGTTTCTTCTAATTCCAAAAATTAAGCATCAGGAAAATGATACCCTAGGTGAAATCTCAAGTCAATTTTTTTTTTTTTTAATTACGGCATAGTGATTATTAAGGGCACAAAGTTCTGGATTTAGAATGGTTAATGTTTTGATCCAAACTATATCATTTACTAGCTGTGTGATCTTCGACAAATTATTTAAGCTCTCGGTTTCCCCATTTGTTAAATGAGAATATAATACCAATCTTACTGGATTGCTGAAAGGTTTAAATGAGTAACAGTTCCTTGGACAAAGTAGGCATACTCAACAGGTAATAACTATCTATTTACATATACACATCATATAAAAATATATTTCATATTATATACATTATATATTAGAAATTTTAGAAATAATCTATTTTTAAAATTAAATAAATTGCACTAAATTTCCCCTGTACTTACTTTATGCCCTACTCCCCAATTCAAATTATAGACACAGATCCTCAGTGATAAAGTGAAAACATATATTACTTTTGTAAATTCAAAGTCAAATGTTATCTGTATATGACATAATATTTACATTAAAAAGGCAATTTTTTATTACCTGAGTCTCCACACCCTGCTCCAGCAGGCGCTTAGCTTGATTTTCCACTTCAAGTCGAGCTCTTGCAATAAAAAGTAGATCGTTTTCAATTACTTCTATTCCAGAAAGATCTATTCCTTGAGAAAGGTAATCTATTTAAAAAACACAGATACACACACATTTAAATATTTCAGTACTGAATAAATATCAAGGTATCAAAGCATCTTGTCTAATTTCTTGAAAATACTAAACATTTGCTGTTGAACACTATTTTCTTCCAAAATCTGTATTTTTAAAAATAGTCACTCAATTATTTATTTTCAGGTATTTATTTTCTACTCAATTAAATAACTTTATTCCTAAGCAAAATGTTCCAAATGAGATAGAATTGGTAAAGCAAGAGTGAAAATTATGATGATTATAAATTCATAGTAATGTCAATAGATCACATAAAAAGTAGTGGCAAATTTATTTTAATGTAAATAAATATCCTGATAACCTCAGAAATTTCTCAAGTTGCAAGACAGCTTTAACAAGTTGTCCTATAACAAAACATTTGAAATAGATGTCCAACATTTGGAGAATTATTAATAAATTATGCAAAAAGTCTTAGCATGATGCCAGTTTACATGATCATGCAGATCTAACAGTTATTTACACTGAAAAATTTTCATGATATTACTAAATGAAAAAAATTACACAAAATTAACTCTATAAACTCTATAGAATTATATATACTCTATAAAATTCTATACATACAAGAAGTATGAAAAGATATTAAACAAAATGTTAACAACAGTAGTCTCTGCTAATGTAGAGATTGAGAAATTTGTTTAATTTTTTGGCTTAACCTTAGACATATACAAGGTAACTAAAATGCTACCAATAAAGGTCAAGTTTTCATTAAGCGGCTTGAGACACCGTTCTAAAACACATTTTCTATTTTAACAAAATAAATTTTTTCTAAAAAACAAAATTGCTTTAGATGGAAGTTTATTTTGTCTTCCTGTAACTGAACAGAATATCAAACATTTTTCACTGTATTCTATTAGAATTCATTTTTAAACTTTAAGTCTTATAAGAATATATCCCCAACACTTATATATTATCGTATCTTACTTAAACGGAGTCACAATGTACTACTTAGGTGAAATTACATTAAAGCATGCAGTACACAATGCTAACCACTAAGCAGGACTCAAATATCTACTGATTGAACATTAACAGTATAGTTAGTTCTACACAGAAAGACAAAAGGAAATGACGTAAAGGGCAGTTGAAGAGTGGTTACTGCTAACTTTACTTCAACTATGAGCATTTTTTAAAATGTGTATATCTAAAGGGATATTTGCCTTACCACAGTGGAAAGATTATTGAAAATGCCTATAAATCATTTGGGCCTAAATTCTGTCTCATAATTTACTCCCTAGGTGACCACAGCCTCACTGGGCCTCAAATTTTTCATCTGTAACATGCCAACAATTTATGCCCTACAAAGACACAAAACAGGTTAGCCCCACACACATACGTGTCAAGAATCAGGAGGGATATCTCAAGTGCGGAGGTTCCCACTGAGGAGCAAGGGGTCCCAACCCCAAACCAGGCTCCCCAGCCCAGAGCGCCAGTGCCAGAAAGAAGAGTCCCCACAACACCTGGCTGTGAAAATCAGTAGGGACTCAGTTCAGTTGAGACAGAGGGCTGCTGCAGACCCAAGCATCTTCTCTTAAAGGGCCTGACCACAGATTCACTTGATCCCAAACTCTTACCCTAAGCTCCAGAAAAGGGACAGCAATGTGAAAGTACCAGGGACATACAGGGAGAAATTAAATTGTCTAGTTTCAGGACAAGGAATGGAAGGGTAAGTGCCATTGTTTCTTAGTTCAGTCCTCCCCCAACACAGCCTGCAGGCATAGGCTGGCACCATATCTGAGTCTCCATTAACTTGACTAAACTACTCTCACCCCACACTGTTGATTTTGAGAACCTTCCGGACCCAATTCACATGCCAGCCCAAACCTCTTTCAGAGGCTAATCCACACAAGCAGCAGGCAGGCCCAGCTGCAGACTTTCCTAAAATGTCAAAGGTCCATAAACAACAAACAAGTAGCAGAGAGTCACCCCACATGCCTTGTACCTCTTGATAAGTGGCCCAAAGGCTGGCACTGGTGGCAGCTGGCCTTGGCTCACAGCATAACCACTCCCAGGCGCCTCCAAGCCCAGCACAGGCAGCTACCAACTACAGATCACTTTGTAGTTCCTAACAGGGAGTACCTGGCCAGACTCAGGCAGTGGCTGAGTTTGGCCAGCACAGGACCCCACCCAAAATGCCCCCAAACCAATAAACCTAGTAGCCGGCTTTTGACCAAACTAGAGTACTATCCAACTAGCGCCACAAACACCACACCCAAAGGATGGACTTGGCAGGCACCAAAACCCCACTAAAGCAAATCCTGTGCAGTGAAAACAGCCCCCACACAACAACACAACAGCTTGTCTGCTGTAGTCACAGCCAATCCTCACAGCCAGTCAATATGAGGGTCAGTTCCACCCATTGATGTGTCAACAGCAATCAAGGCTCAACTCTGACATGAGAGAGCATACAACCCACATAAGGGACAGCCCTGGAGCACACGGCTCAGGTGAAGAGTAAGAGTGTGCCACTGGGCCCCATAGAAGAACTACTATGTAAGGTCACTCTGCCAAGAGTAGGAGGTGTAACGTTATCTACCAAATACATAGAAACAAACACAAGAAGGAAGTCAAAATGAGGAGAAAAAGTAACATATCCCAAATAAAATAACAGGAAAAAACTCCAGAAAAAGAACTAAATGAAGTGGCAAGCAATCTATCAGATGCGGAGTTAAAAACACTGGTTGCAAGGCTGTTCAATGAACTTATGTGAAGAACAGATTATCTCAGTGAAAACGTCAATAAAGACATAGGAAACATTCAAATATAAATAAAATGAGGAGAAAAAGTAACATATCCCAAATAAAATAACAGGAAAAAACTCCAGAAAAAGAACTAAATGAAGTGGCAAGCAATCTATCAGATGCGGAGTTAAAAACACTGGTTGCAAGGCTGTTCAATGAACTTATGTGAAGAACAGATTATCTCAGTGAAAACGTCAATAAAGACATAGGAAACATAAAAAAGTAGATAGGAAACATAAAAAAATGACAAATAAAAAATATAAGAACTGAAATGAAGAATACATTAGAGAGATTCAACGATGAGGTGAAGCAGATCAAATCAGCGATTTGGATGAGAAGATAGCAGAAAACACCCAATAAAAAACAACAACAACAAATAAAAGAGGTTTAAGGGACCTCTGGGACAGCATCAAGCATAACAACATTCGCATCATAGGATACCAGAAAAAGAAGAGAGAGAGAGCAAGAGTTTGAGAACTAATTTGAAAAAATGACAAAAAATTTCCCTAACCTGAGGAAGGAAACAGACATACAAGTCCAGAAAGTGAGGAGAGTCCCAAACAAGATGAACCCAAACAAAACTACACCAAAACGCATCATAATTAAAATGCCAAAGGTTAAAGACAAAGAGAGGATCTGAAAAGCAGCAAGAAAAAAGCAGTTACCTACAAAGGAGCTCGCATAAGCTGATTTCTCAACAGAAACTTTGCAGGCCAGAAGAGACTGGCACGAAATAGTCAGGGCACGAAATAGTCAAAATGATGAAAAAGACTTACAACCAAGATTATCCTACCCAGCAAAGCCATAATTTAGAATTGAAGGACAGATAAAGTTCTTCTCAGACAAGAAAAAGCAAAAGGAGTTCATCACCACCAAACCAGTATTACAAGAAATGTTAGAGGGATTTCTTTAAGAAGAAGAAGAAAAAGGAAAAAAAAGATAAAAAAATATAAATAATAATATGACAATAACTACATATCTATCAACAATTACTTCAAATATAAATAGATTAAATGCTCCAATCAAGATAGAATGAATGAATGGATAAGAAAACAAGACCCATACATGTGCTGCCCACAAGAGATCCACTTCAGATCAAAGGACACACAGAAACTAAAAGTAAAGAGACAAAAAACATATTTCATGGAAATGGAAACGGGAATGGGAGGAAAAAAAAAAGCTGAGGTAGCAACACTTATACCAGACAAAATACTTAAAACAAAGGCTGTATAAGAGACAAAGAGTCAACAGAAACTTTGCAGGCCAGAAGAGACTGGCACGAAATAGTCAAAATGATGAAAAAGACTTACAACCAAGATTATCCTACCCAGCAAAGCCATAATTTAGAATTGAAGGACAGATAAAGTTCTTCTCAGACAAGAAAAAGCAAAAGGAGTTCATCACCACCAAACCAGTATTACAAGAAATGTTAGAGGGATTTCTTTAAGAAGAAGAAGAAAAAGGAAAAAAAAGATAAAAAAATATAAATAATAATATGACAATAACTACATATCTATCAACAATTACTTCATATAAATAGGATACCAGAAAAAGAAGAGAGAGAGAGCAAGAGTTTGAGAACTAATTTGAAAAAATGACAAAAAATTTCCCTAACCTGAGGAAGGAAACAGACATACAAGTCCAGAAAGTGAGGAGAGTCCCAAACAAGATGAACCCAAACAAAACTACACCAAAACGCATCATAATTAAAATGCCAAAGGTTAAAGACAAAGAGAGGATCTGAAAAGCAGCAAGAAAAAAGCAGTTACCTACAAAGGAGCTCGCATAAGCTGATTTCTCAACAGAAACTTTGCAGGCCAGAAGAGACTGGCACGAAATAGTCAAAATGATGAAAAAGACTTACAACCAAGATTATCCTACCCAGCAAAGCCATAATTTAGAATTGAAGGACAGATAAAGTTCTTCTCAGACAAGAAAAAGCAAAAGGAGTTCATCACCACCGTTCATTACCACCAAACCAGTATTACAAGAAATGTTGAAGGGATTTCTCTAAGGAAAAGAAGAAAAAGCAATCAAAAATATAAATAATAAAATGATGATAACTACATACCTAGCAACAATTAGTTTAAATATAAATGAATTTAATGCTCCAATCAGAAGATATAGGGTGGCTGAATGGATAAGAAAACAAAACCTTTACGTATGCTGCCCACAAGAGATCCACTTCAGATCAAAGGACACACAGAAACTAAAAGTAA